CGATCTGAGACAATTTTTTTTTCGAGGCTCAAAAAAAGGCAGTATATAACCTTCCTTTTTTACCAAAAATCGACTGCACCAAAATTTCTCGGGAAAACACTTTTTCTTATTAATTTTGGTGCGTTGAATCCAAAACAATTCGTACTTTTTCGATCGGACTTCTCAATCAAAAGTTATGGACTAGAAACCAATTTCGAAAGAAAATTCAAAGGGCTGTAATTTTTGAACTAGTAGCCCAATCTTGGAACTGTTTGAAATTATGGATTCTACAGGCCACATTCTATAAGAAAATTTTTTTCCGGGTCGATCTGAAACAATTTTTTTTTCGGGCCTCAAAAAAAGGCAGTGTATAACCTTCCTTTTTTACCAAAAATCGACTGCACCAAAATTTCTCGGGAAAACACTTTTTTTTATTAATTTTGGTGCGTAGAATCCAAAACAATTCGTACTTTTTCGATCAGACTTCTCAATCAAAAGTTATAGACTAGAAACCAATTTCGAAAGAAAATTCAAAGGGCTGTAACTTTTGAACTAGTAGCCCAATCTTGGAACTGTTTGAAATTATGGATTCTACAGGCCACATTCTATAAGAAAATTTTTTTCCGGGTCGATCTGAGACAATTTTTTTTTCGGGCTCAAAAAAAGGCAGTGTATAACCTTCCTTTTTTACCAAAAATCGACTACACCAAAATTTCTCGGGAAAACACTTTTTCTTATTAATTTTGGTGCGTAGAATCCAAAACAATTCGTACTTTTTCGATCAGACTTCTCAATCAAAAGTTATGGACTAGAAACCAATTTCGAAAGAAAATTCAAAGGGCTGTAACTTTTGAACTAGTAGCCCAATCTTGGAACTGTTTGAAATTATGGATTCTACAGGCCACATTCTATAAGAAAAAATTCCGAGTCGATCTGCGAAAAATGTACCTTTATAGCATGCCTAATAATTGTTTTATGTTGTTTTTAAGGAATGGATATTTAACTTGTAAAGAAAGTGCTCGGAGGGACAGTTAAAAACGTCTGATTGTAGAGTAAGGAGTGCAATTTCATGATGAAATCCATCGATTCCAGTTAGAAAAGATACAATATTGTTGACCTCGATTGAGTAAATATATTCAATTAGAAGCACTTGTTAGTTATATTCAGTGTGAACTCACTACCGGAATACTTCACTACAATGTAAATTCTGTTCAAATAAAATTAATTAATTGAATTAATATTTGCAAGTAGCCTTAATAATCATGATGTGAACGTTCTTGTGGTCTGATAACTATTTATTTAATTAGTGTCCTCTCTGTATGCGTAGATACAGGACGATGGGGCGTGGTTACTGCAACTTACTGTTAGTGTGGCCAAAAATGAGCTTTTAAATTTTGGTTCTGTAAAATGCAAGACACTACATCCCCTAATACCAGTCCCGCCTTCCGTGGACTTGTGGTCTCTAGTACTGTCATTTATCGCTCGTCCTTAAGTAGACTGAAAATTAAGAGCGCATTCAACGAAAAGAAGAGAGCGAACCCTCACCACCTACTTCACACCGTCCTGGAAGCATAAAATGGGATACCAACCCAATCAAATCTGACCCACGACATGGGTAGTTGGATGTCGTTTCGGTCGGTTCGCGGTCATCTGGTCCAGCGATCCATTGAAAACAATTGCTGTGGAGAACACAGATATCGCACGATGTGCCTAATACCTCCTCTACTCATGTGCGGCTGGAAAAAATTAAAGAACTATAGGAAACTCTAATTAGACATCAAAGTTACAAACGTTATTAGATATTTCGAATCTTGACGTAATATCCGGAACTCGGACTCGGAAATTTAGAAACAGTCCCAAATATTTTCAAAAAATGATGTCAAATCTTCTCTTGGCCCTTGGAATTTAAATAGAACCTTCTTAATGCGTTTTTTAGAAGGTTTATTACCACTCCCGACAAGTTATCCGAAACTATGACCAGAATTCAAAAATGTTATCGCAGAATAGCTCTTGGTGTTCCAATTGAAACTTCAAATTTCAAAAAATCTTTTAGCGCATTTTAGAAAATATGAAAAGATTTTAGCCGATATCGGCCGATATTGCAATGCCTGAACGCCGATACACGACCATTTTTTAAATTTTATTTAAATTTATCTTATGTTTGGTCTTTATCTTAGATAAAAATTACGCATTTTCAAAATGTCTAAAAGAAAAAACCAATACGGAAAAACAAATTCAAATAAAACAAACCAACTCCCGTCATTATTTCTGGTGTTGCGTCCGAAATAATGTCTACATGGCGTTGTTTACACAACAACATATGAACAATTTTCATTCACAATTTACCTTAAAGTAATTACAATGAACCCATGATTTTTGTGGTTACTGCACTTTGAAAAACCTTTAAAACAAACACTGACTTTCATATCCAATCCAATTTCACAATATTCAACTACACAAAAATTGTTTTTAACTTAAATTCTTTAAGTACGTAATAATTAAATTTTGGTTTAGATATTTCTTCTGTTTAATCTACAATTATTCATTAATTATGATACTGGTGCTGAAAGAGATTTAACCATTTAATTTGAGATAAATAAAATAAATAGAACTAACCTCGTAAAACGAATATTCATGCAGATAAGGGCGTTGAATCCGCAGAACCTTTGGGATAGCTTCTTTACATTGACAACGATATGGAAACGTTTAACCAAATATTTTCCAACCTACAAATTTCGACAATCGGGTAATTTCGATGATTCACAATCTACCCTCCAAAAATACTGAGAATTGTTGCTTTTGGCATTAAGAAGCTCATCCAACGACCGAGCGGACATAATCGTTAAAGATCGTACAAAACCGTAACGTTTGAAATAAATATGTTAAAATTGTTATGTTAACATTGAGCAATAACGTAACAAAATTATCACGGGATAAGCACACGGTAAGCTCAGGCAAAGTAGAGGTGGGGTGAATAACGGAGTTCTTGTACGCTAGCTAAAACGAAGTAAAAAGGAAATATAGTAATAGTAAACTGGATAGGCGCCACTTAGTCTTTGGTAAATTTCAAAAGAGAAAAGACTTACCTAAAGGGGGAACAAGACAGGCTAAGGGATCCTTGTTCTCGTCTTGATAAGCTTAAGAACTAAAATAATTGACAGGGATAGAACATAAACAAGAATTGATGTCACAATCGAGGTTAAGGTTCTCAAAATATTACAAATAGGACAGCATTTAAATTTAAATCAATTTTTAGCAAAAAGAGAATCAATTCGTAATTAGGAAAATTATTACAATCAAAAAAGGCTTCGAAGGTATCGAAAATCAGTATCTAATCAAACTTTATATCAAGGAGTCGTCAACAATAAAAAAAATTACCTTTGCTTTGGTTGTAATGGCCTTTTGAGCTCAGAAGAGCGCTTTGCTGCCTTATCTGTAACAGATATCAACACAGAGAAACGTGAATAGCGGCACAAAGATATTTGCGGTATTAATGTCTAACGTCTGACACTAATCAGTCAAGTCTTATACTAAAACCGTAATTAGTGGATACAATGTAATGAATGAAATCACCTAAAATAATTTTTAAGCACCAAACAAGATTTCTAAGGAGATTTATAAAATGTCTCTGAATAAGGTTCCTAGAAATCGATAGGATTCAAATTAATAAAACCTCTGAAGAGGTGTAGAAGATGCCTAATTAGGTTTTCATTGCTTTCTATAAAAATCTTTCTAACCAAGTTTCTAAGATCATTTCTTTAATATCTTCGATTTCCAGAAAGATGTCTAGTAAAGGAAGATTGACACACGTTCTAGGATATTTAAGAGTTGAAAGATGTATAAAACGATTGGTAAAATGGTTTTCAAGGGTCTCCTGGGAGGCCAACTGTGCTTCTGAAAAATTTCCTAGCAAGCTTGCCAAAATGGCTTAGTTGAATGCAGTTGATCATATTTATAGGAAAGTTCTGGCGCTATATTCCCGGAAAAACTTGCCAATAAATTGTTCTAAACCAAAGTTTATAGAGTGGTCTAAATAAGTTTTGAAAAATTTTAATTTTTCTCGATAGACTGAGACATGAGACATCGTTATCAGGATTCTAAAATGGTTTCATAGAGGGTTTCCAAACAGATTTGTTTATTGCGAGGTTTCTAGAAGCTAGAACAAGAAGAATGTATAAGGGAAATTTTCAAAAAAACGTATTTCTAGGAAACGTTTCTAAAAACATGTTTGAGTTTACGGAAACCCAAAGAATATTTCTAAAGAGTTTTTCAAGACAGACAGAGAAATATGTTTCTGGGAAATCTTAGTGCCATGTTGATTGTGGATTTGAAAACTCTTAGTGCGATATTACGGTAATAAAAAGTTACACAGTCTCTCCCTAGGTCTCCAGATATTTCAGAATCCATTTTAAATTCTTTGAATTTGTAGCTGAAATGTTTGTAATTGGTTTGAGTTTGTTGTCCAGATGAAAAGTTATGTATCTGCTTTATGTAGTACAAAACGTTGAATTAAACGCAGAAATCAGTACAAAACGGCAGAAGAAAACTTTAGTCACCATTGAAAGTCTCTTGTTGGTCCCATTCCATAAGATTGGAAGAACCTTTACGGTTTTTCTTTATCCCTTACAAATTATTTTGGTTTTGATCACTGATTAAAGCTAAAAATGTAAATAAATGACACCGTTTGCAACGTTGCCACATTTAAATTCGTGTGGCGCAGTTCACTTGAATCTGGACTGCGGTACTGAGCCTCTACTTCAAATCCGGGTTTGGGCATGGATATTTGTAAATGTATATTGGGTTGGGTTGGAGTAGCCTTGGATGAAACCCCGCCCTGATTAGTCACATGAATCATTGAAACTGAATGTCTAAGGAAAGTCACAAAAAATAGTCAGTGACCGCACAAAAAACCAAAGGCAATCTTCGCTTTGTTTTTGAGATTTCTGAAAAAGAACATTACAAACCCCCTAACTGACTGTATCAGTAATGTTTCTTCCAACTGATGCCGTCAAATTCAGTGAGGTAAACACAAGAAAAATTTATTGCATTATGTACAAAGCGCGAAATAGGTACACAGAATTTCCGAGATGAATTAAATCTCTGCGCATGGGTCTTGCTGCCTTGAATTTCTAAAGTTGTCGAAATCTTCCTGGGTAAGTCTCTCGTCGAACGTGCACGTATTCGTGGTGATGATGCAAACGGCGCTGTTGCCCTTCCCGAAGTACTTTTGATCGCAATCGGGTTCGCTGATGTTGCGTTCTTGAAGAAATTCGTTGAAGCTCTTAAGGCATGTGCATGACCACGGATTGCCGGAGAAGGTGACTTCTCGGATGTCTTGCAGAGCTTCCGTCGTTTCTTCTGGTACGTACATTAGGGCGTTAGAGTGCAGGAAGATCGTTACGATCGGGTTGGGGTTTGGAAAGATTTTGTGCGGGAGGGAAGTTAGGTAATTGTGGTTTAGTATCAGACGTTTCAGTTCGAAGAATTGACCAAAGCTACCTTCGGCGATTTGGTCAATTACGTTATGGGACAGGTCGAGGGTTTCCAGACTGGGCATGCCGAAAGATACTTGGATGCGGTTCAATCGATTGTGGGACAAGTTGAGTTCCTTCAAATTGGTCAATGGTTTTATTACACCCTCCTCGATTTGCGAGATGTCGTTGAATGCCAAGTTTAGCTGTTCGAGGTTTTCGTGGAAAGCCCCATCGACTATCGACTGCACGTTATTGTGGGAGATAATTAGGCGTTTCAAGCTTGGAATGTTCACCATGTTTATTTGGATGTTATTTAACTTATTGTGCGATAAGTTGAGGATAGTCACAGTGGATTGTCTAAAAAGGTCATGAACTATATTCTCAATTGCGTTGTGGCTCAAGTCTAATTTGTGAATGTGTAAGTTGGCAAAGGCGAGGCGTGGTATCACCGTCAGCTGATTTTTATAAAACTTGAGATGCTCCAACCTTTTAATTCCATTGAAGGCCCCCGCTTCGATTCCGGTGATCTTCTCCATGATCATCAGCTCTTCAATGTTAGGTGTTTTCTTAAACGCATTTTCCGTGATTACCTCGTCGAGAGTATGCGAAGTCGTCCTCTTGCACTTTTCCGGCGATATTATCAAACTATCCCAACTTTTTTTCCCGTAACGTTCGATGTCTTTGACCTTCTCACATTGGTTCGTAAAGGTTGTTTCACATTTCGAATATACTTTGACTATAATCACAAATACAAAGCATAAGCCTGACCTAACAAACATGTTGACGGAGGAAAAGGTTAAATGTTACTGATTTCAGAAGCCAAACGCAAGGTCATACTAATCTTGCTTTATTGTGCCACATGAGTAACCAAATTATTGCAGTTACGTCATAATGAAGACGTGTATTTAACCGGTTTGAGGAAAATTTGTCTCGCGGTGTGTATAAAGTTACCAGTAGAAATTCCAGAGATTTTTTGAAAGTAACAAAACTTTTTTTAAATTATATTTTTCGTTAGTGACATCTTTTAGGGTACAGTTATATAATCATACCATTAATATCACTTACCCAAATCGTCAGAATCATTTAGGCCTCTAACCGTACCCGCTTCCCATGACTGCTCTCAGCCGGGACCACTGTAACTACAAGAAACACAAGGAGCACCTCTGCCTTGCATTCAGCTACTCTAATCCTGTCCCTCAGCAACACTCAAACATAGACATAACGACAACAGAGGTTCTTCTCACGTCCAGGTCCCCATACGCCACCCGGCTACGTATTCCCCTGTGCAATCCCTACCCTCATGCCTGGAACTAAACGAGGGTCTGGAAGAGTCTTATCACGTCAGCTGGCTAGCTTCACTATGCTACAACTTCTTGGTGTACTCAACATCAAACTGCTACTTTTTCCGTTAACGGAAAACACGCTTTGAAAACTTCTCACGAACTTTTACTAACTCTCTTCACTACGTTATAACTAAAATCTCTCAATACGATTACCTAACTTCTTCTACACAACTTCATTATAATCACGATTAATTACGTATCAACTGCCTAAAATAACACACATCCAAACCGTCACCAAATAACCCTCGCTCCCGTAATTAAAGGTTCCACCATTTCCACCAAAACATAACAGGTATGCAGTACAATAAATGTTAATCTTATTTATGAGCCAATTTTTTTAAAGGGTAATCACTGTTCTACCTCCAGTCTTCTAAATGACTCTTAGGGTCTGTAACAGGCCCTTTATGGGTCTCCTTAAGAAGCCTTTAAGCGTTAACAGTACCGATATCCGATTCTCAAAGATCCTTTACGAGCTTTACTTTATCTATCAGGCAGATTCTAAAGCCTTGAAGGGTTTTTGAGGCTCTTTAAGAGTTTCCGTGCCTCCCAGTTTTCAAGAATCTAAAGAGGCTTGAAGTGGTTTTTTGAAAGAGTTTAATTTACCTTTGGAATTCTTAACGACTGTTTGAATGTTCTTCAAAGCCTTCAAAAATCTTTAGTGTTTAGGGGACAGGTCTTCAAGATCGCATTTTTTTGCACTGTGGGTATATAGGTACTGTTGATGTATCTGACCTTTCCCAGTTCTTTGATATCTCCATTTTTTTCAATTTCTTATTAGGAATCATTAATTGTATTTAACAGTTCAATCTCTATAGGATGTTCGGATCCTCGGATTTCTCCGAAATTTGCATTAGATTCCTCCGGTTCTTAAATGTTTTTCGATTTTTCGGTTTTCTTGGATTCTACGGATGCTTATACCCTTTAAGTTATTATGATCCTTCAGTTCGTTCTTCTGACCCTTAAAATTCTTTAGATCCATAAAATTTTAACCGCAGATGCTTATAGTAATTCGCATATTATAAAAATTAGGAGTGCGCGTGTGCAGAATCGAAATAGACATCAAAGTGCCATAAAAAATCAGCGATATGAAACGAAAGTGGATGTGATGCACTTTTTCCGGGAAATATGGCGTGATTTGCTCGAGAACATTCTAGAATAGAAGAGGCGCGGAAAACTTACATTAGGTATCGTGCTGCGCCACGGCAATGCACCAGTGCACAAGCCCAAACTTTCATAAGCTGCTGTAGCTGATTGTGGCTTCGAAGAAGTTGAACATCCGCCTTATAGTCAACATGCACCGCCCAGTGACTTGTCTTGTCCCCGAGGCTCAAATCAACACTAAGTGGGACAAAATTTATTTATCTTCTAGGAGTTGGGAGTAGAAAAGTACTTTAATTTGTAGTGTCGTTTTAGCCACCGATAAGGAAATCAAGATACTGTAACTAATTCGCTGTTGGTAGCCCTTCCCGTAGAGATATTTTAATTATTCTTGCATCCTCCGAAAGGTCTCGTCCTTTGGAAGACGAGAAAAAATTAATAATTTATGGTTTCCGTTAATTAATTATGGACCGCGAACCAGTATTAAACCAGTATTAAAGGAAACAAGGCCGTGCAGTTTACAATAGATAAACAGACCTCTCGCCTAACTCGAAAATTGCATTTATTTTATTTATTTTTTTATTTTACCTTTATTTTTAAGTGGGCGGGGTTTCAGCCGAGGCTGCTCGGGCTGCTAGCAACGGGCCTTACTGGACTACCGAATTTTAGAATTTTAATCCGGCCAATTAACTGAGTATAATTAACCGTAGTTAATTAATTGTGTTGCAGCAAACGTTATCAAAATTGGTCGCGTTTGGTATTGTTGGATTCGCACTTAAATAGAATGAATTTTGAGATTGGTTCGAGATTTTTTATGATAGCAGGGGACCGAGCCCTTCCACAAATTTCCGAATTCTATAAAAGATGAGCCGTCATTTAGAGGGGATGTTTTGCATCTTTTAGCGTCATCGTGTAAATTTTTTTCTCTAAATCGTCCTGAAATCTTAATGTTCATGGCCACTACAGAAAATCTTAGTTTCCATCACAGCGGCAGTAACACTTCTCATTTTACCGTATCGTTTAGTTTCGAGATACGCGTTTCATACTTTCTTTCCATGAAATATAAGACCCAGAGGGCACTAAAGATATTGAACTGGAGTATTAGGGTAGTCAAGAGGACACAGAAGTTGTGAAGAAGAGTTAATCTACCACCTAATAATCATGGAAAGCTTGAAGGGGGTTCTTTCTAGGGTGTTTTAGGTTTATTCAGACCTCTGTATGTCTGGAAACATCGTGGACAGCTGAAAAAAAACGAAACAATTTGAAGGTTTTGTAAACCTTTGGAAAGTCACCAAGAGGAAGCTAAGATGACTTACGACTACTGCTGTGGAAAATGCTTAAACCGTTTAAACGACCTTGTTCTACATAATGTACACTGTTAGCTGGAGAGCTTCAGCTTGTGATAACAACATTTTTTCTGTTTCTTCATGCACGTATCATGAAATTTTCACCAGGAGACACACCCAGAAATCATTACGTCACCAGTGATGACGTCATAATTCTGGAACTGTTGCTGTTTATTTCCTATTATCTCCGGTCGTTGCGATATGAAGTTTATCGCCGCTTAAGCTATTTAAATTGCAATATAAACAGGTGTTATCGCCGAAGGAAAGCAGAAGTGTTTGATTTCGAGACGAAAATTCGAGCGGAAACTGAGAGAGGGAAGAATGTACTAAATAGCGGAGGAACACGTGAATCTTGGCTTTTTCGCTATAGTGGACGTTGAAACGTCGCCGCTCATTGTTTTGGTGATTGGCAGTTTTGTCGTATTTGGGGGATTATTGCAAGATCAAGAAGTGAAGTTTACGAAGAAATTGTTCTTTCCCTGCTGATCAAAGAGCCGATTTCACATCTGAAATTACAACGAACCCAGGGCAGTGTCAATCGAAGTTTAAGTGCAATTAACGAAATTAAGTTCCCGAAATTTGTGTGTGCGCCATATAATGAAAATCTCAGTTACGACCGGATATTTTGGATTAATAACACTTTAATCTTTCTTTCATTAATTATTTCAATCGATCGCTTGTGGTGTAGTATTTGTACTTTGTCCCGGAGTACTTATTTTTGTTGATTGATTTTGTCTAATACTTACTTACTTACTTACTTCTGTAAATCTTTTATGTTCTGCTTAATATCGCGCAAATTATGACCTAGATAAGAGTCATCCTAAATATTTCTGTTGGTACTAAGTGTAAATAAAAAATTGAAACGTTATTCTATGGAATTGATCAAGGCTGCTGAGTCTTCTCAAATTTAATCAAATGAGGATACTGAGCGATTTGCGGAATGGGATTTACAAGAATTGAGTGTGACCCCAAGACTTTCAAGAACTGTTATGGTATCGCTTCAGAGAGAGGAGGTTGAGAAGGATAATGGTGGGGGCAGTGGTTGAGGATTAATTTGGATTCCGATGGGATTTGGGAACCATGAATGCAATCGCAGTAGTAAAAACAATTTGATAAAGATATATACAACGAGAAAGAATTGTGTGAAGTACGAAAAATTGTAAGACATTTTAAGGAACAAGGGTGTGGATTAGAGAGAAAGATTGATCAGCAATCTCTGGTGGGTGATATAATGACGGAATGGTTTGGAATAGGAAGGGTAGTTAGGCAGGGATCTTGCCTATGGCCTACTTTATTTAATATTTGTATGGAGCATATGGACGTGGAAAATACTGGGGGGTATGATCATATTTGCAAAAAACACACGGGAATTGAATGAAGTGTTGAAACGACAGGAAGAAATTGAAGCCACGTATGGATGAGGAGACACCACCACAAAAAGTCGTAGGTAATGAAAGTTAGAGCAGAGGATATACATTGCGTTCTTTCCTCTTTATTGTAAGTACTGCCATTTGTATTTCGTTTACTATTTAGTGTTCGGCTGTAATTTGTTATACTGCAATTTCCATCGATAATATCAATTTATTAATTTGTGGAAAGTGTTTTAAGATTCAGTACCAAGTTTCAAACACCTGCATTTGCTCTTAGTTAAGTTCGCGTTTCTAAAATATTCAGGTTGAAGGTTACTTGTCTTTCGTGAACGATTTTTCAATTACAAAAACTTTTGTTACTTTTGCGTTTAAATCAATTTTGCGTTTACGTTCTGACCCACCCCTAAATTACTTCATCCGTTAGTTTTCACATTAATCTAAAGTAAGCACGAGAGGTTTATCTAACGAACTTTCAAAATTGATTAATTAAAAATAATTCCTCCGCCAGTATATATTGCCTCGTGGACTGAAAGTACCGTTACATTTCTCTAAAGCATTTCACAGTTTGTAAAATTAAATTTCAAACTTTTCAAGCTTGAATACACACGCCGCAACCTTTGCAATAGGTACATTTACAAAACCGCCGCGCGGACATTACATTCAAAATTTGATTAAAAGCTGTCAGCAAGTCAAGTATTCAAAAACCGACTTCGCCCTTCTCAAAGAAGGACGCGTACAAAAAAACAAATCAACATGCAAAGGTACGAACGTAATTCATTTCGTCAAACACAATTTTTTCATTTTCAGTTTTATCCCGCGAATTTATGGCCCGTTTTATTTTCCCTTCGCCCTATTCACCTTTGTCTACATTAATTATGACATAAAAAATCATCGCTTTCGACGAAATAAAAAAGTGAAAATTTCATTAC